CCCTTTTCGCACCAGGCTAGCCAGCGGTGGCAGCTGCATGCGGGAAGGCATGCAGAGGCTACCACACAGTATGAGTATCCCCCCCCCCCCACATATGTGTGTGTGTGTGTGTGTGTGTGTGTGTGTGTGTGTGTGTGTGTGTGTGTGTGTGTGTGTGTGTGTGTGTGTGTGTGTGTGTGTGTGTGTGTGTGCACGTGTGTGTGGGTGGGTGCGTGTGTGCGTGAGAGAGAGAGAGAGAGAAAGAGAAAGAGAGAGAGAGAGAGAGAGAGAGAGAGAGAGAGAGAGAGAGAGAGAGAGAGAGAGAGAGAGAGAGGGAGAGAGAGAGAGAGAGAGAGAGAGAGAGAGAGAGAGAGAGAGAGAGAGAGTGTGAGTGAGTGTGTCTGTGAGAGAGAGAGAGAGAGAGAGAGAGAGAGAGAGAGAGAGAGAGAGAGAGAGAGAGAGAGAGAGAGAGAGAGAGAGAGAGAGAGTGAGTGAGTGTGTCTGTGTGTGTATCTATATGTATGTATCTATATATGAATATATGTTTGTATATATATTCACACGCGTCTGTAAATATATATATATATATATATATATATATATATATATATATATATATATATATATATATATACACACATATATATACATATATATTATAGTATATAGTAATTATTAGCGTAATACAAATACAACTCGTGTTAAAATTTTACATTATTTCCAGTAACCTAAATTATGAAGATGCAGCATTTCCTCTAAAAGAAGTGTTCGTCCCGCCTTTTCTTGCCATTATAACGACGCCGACGGTTTCAGGACATCATGACAGTTATTTTGTGCGTTTATAGATGATGTCTATTTGTCATTCCGCTCCATACACTCGGAGATGTCTATAAGGATAATGGAATTGTGATGATGGCAGAATGAAGAGGATGTCAATCAATAGTCATTATTGATAACAAGAATAATAGCTGTGACGGTAGCAAAGTGGCAATGGTTGTTGCGTGAATTACTTTTTGTTACACGAGTTATTCTCCACGTTGTAACAGGTATGAAGATTGTTTTATATTAACATTAGCGATCCAGAAGCGAGATCTTTTCTTTCACGTACGATGAAAGAAAAGGGAATGGCGTATGAAGGAGGGAGAGAGAGAGAGAGAGAGAGAGAGAGAGAGAGAGAGAGAGAGAGAGAGAGAGAGAGAGAGAGAGAGAGAGAGAGAGAGAGAGAGAGAGAGAGAGATAGGGAGAGGGAGAGAGAGAGAGAGAGAGAGAGAGAGAGAGAGAGAGAGAGAGAGAGAGAGAGAGAGAGAGAGAGAGAGAGAGAGAGAGAGAGAGAGAGAGAGAGAGAGAGAGAGAGAGAGAGAGAGAGAGAGAGAGAGAGAGAGAGAGAGAGAGAGAGAGAGAGAGAGAGAGAGAGAGAGAGAGAGAGAGAGAGAGAGAGAGAGAGAGAGAGAGAGAGAGAGAGAGAGAGAGAGAGAGAGAGAGAGAGAGAGAGAGAGAGAGAGAGAGAGAGAGAGAGAGAGAGAGAGAGAGAGAGAGAGAGAGAGAGAGAGAGAGAGAGAGAGAGAGAGAGAGAGAGAGAGAGAGAGAGAGAGAGAGAGAGAGAGAGAGAGAGAGAGAGAGAGAGAGAGAGAGAGAAGTGCTTTGTCTTAAGTACGCTGTTTGGGAATCGACCTGCCCAATGATTAATGGATCTGTGACATATAGTTGGCCCATTTTTATTTCTTGTACGTAAAATGGATACTTGTGATTATGTCTTTCATTACGAGAAAACCGGCGGGGAAATTGTTGAAGCTCAGGAAGAAATGGTTGTGTAATAATGAAAATTGGCGACCTGAAGAACGACAGATGGAGTCCATACTTCTTCGATTGTGAATAATTTAATAACGTTTTCTTTTTACCTATTTTTAAAAATTTATTCTGGTGAGTTACCAATAGCTGTGCAATTTATTCATATCTTCTGCTAGACCTCATTGCGAATTTAGCGTTTCGTGTCCAATGTGCACTACAAAAATAAAAGGAAAATGCTTAACTTAATACGATTTCGGGGGACATCTTTATCAGTCTGTACGTGTTTTGACTCTTACTTGCAATAACGAAATTTCTTATCATTAATCTTAAAGTTAATAGTTCATCCGTGAAAGTAACACGATAAAATGAAATACGCAATTCCTCTTTGAATGTTTAATCAAACATCAAGTCTGAATAAAAGATTTATAGTTAATTGCAAACATATGCTTATGAATACTTTCTGCAATGTTGATAGAGACTGTTAAAGCCTATATTCTCAAAGTTTAACCGGTGTTTGACAGTCAAGACATCATCTCACAAAATATGATATGTTCGACTATGATATTTACACTACGAAATATACAATATTAGAATTCAGAAGAAAACAAAAAATACTTGACAACTTTTGACAGATTTTGTAACATGTTGAAAAATACCCTCCCCCCCCACAATATCTTGCTCGTTGTTGTCGTGGCAGGGGGGGGGGAGGGGCTTAGGAGGCGGAGACTGAATC